GCGACGCGTTTTACGCCCGTGGTGGGGACGGTTACTCGCGATAGCAGCAGCGTCCACCCTTCTAGTAGAACCGCCCAGGACGCGGTCACTCGAATGCTTGGCGGTCGATGTCCGCGCACTCTGCGGTCAGTTCGCCCGCGACTATCTCTATCGTAAATAACCGATCATCTCCCGCCAAGTTTGCAGGCTGTGCCGCAACCGCGGTGGCTACTTGACCGCACAAACCTGCGGTGTCGTGAGTATTGAAATAAACCGGGTGTTCCGCAGCCGCAGGCGTGGTTGGAAACCGTTCCGTGAGTTCTTAGCCTTACAGTGACGCGGATTGCTACGTACGAAACGCGCTCCGCTTTTTAAACTTTTTCATTTACAAAAAAAGCGACACGGTATTCTTCTTCTTCTATCTTTTATATTTAAACCCTATTATCGGTTTAAACGAAAAAAAAAATTTGAAAATATATTATCTTTTCTTAAAAATGCTCAGAAATGTTTGCATTACTTTGGAAGACGAACACGGAAAGGAAGAAAGTTTGTCCGTGGGACACTGTAGCTTCTCTCTCTCACTATGGGGAGCTGTTTCATTCGGTGGCGTGGGAAAAACAGCAAAATATATAATTACAAAACAAACGGAAACACATTTCATCGGTAATTAAATATTATGTAATTTTTAAATTTTCGTCCATTATAGCAACGCTCAAGTTAAACTGGTCGATTTGAAGAGAAACAATTGACGACACCCGTCAATTGTTTCGAATTCGGACTGGCTAATCGGAACGCAATTGTCACCGGAATGATTTGGCAGAATAGTTTTCAAACTTTAGACTATGGAAACCAAAGGACATGTTATGTTGACATATATAAATCAGACGTTATATGTATATGATGCATTTCGACGTTGAAACCATAAACATTTTATTGTCTTTGTTTAATTACTGCGTGCCGTCATAACCCAAAAGAGATAGCATTACATTGATTTGTGTCAAACACGGGAATCAAAAATATGTAACGTCATCTTAAATGCCAACTGTATTGATTTTGCCATTTTTGGACTACCTCAAAGTACATCAAATGTCAAAACCAATGTTTCGCCAAATGTTTTAGTGAATTATTCGCATGAGTTGTAATGAAATGGACAAAAATATTGACAATGAGGACAATTAAGCATTGATAAAAATACGTCACTGCAGCATTAAGGGGTGCGGCAGTAGAAAAAGCGGAAGTCAACCGAATGTTACATTACACCGGCATGTGTTATTTTTCTGTCTATAAATCATACAATAGCCCAAATATCTCATATTAGACTCATTTAAGTAGTTCATTCATAAGTCTTGCCGAATTTTGCTTTGATTACTTCAGATTGCCTGTTTGTTAGTATATTTTGATGATTGTTGATAACGATTATTTTGAGATAATGTTGTTCTAGTAAGCAGACCATATTATCGATATTCTGTTATTAAAACAATTCACCACGAGGTTTTTATTATTTCATTATAATTATTTTTAAAGTTTAACTACAAATTAAAAAGAAAAAAAGAATGGTTGGAAATTATAGACTGCTGAACATAAACATTGGATCAAATACCATCTTCGGTTGTTCGCTCCATTTTGAAGAGTCAAATTTTAATAGAATTTTGAATGTAACTAGATTACATGATAATGCATTTCATCGTTACATTTATTGGTAAATAACTTTATATTTAATTTTGATTAAAATGGCTCATCATTTACCTAGTAATAATAGCCTAGTGTTAATCATATCTTGATTACAGTAAACTATACAAATTTGCAAACAAAAAAAAACAGTTTCAACATTCAAGCCATACATTTGCATGTCGATATTGACTTATCTATCTATGATTATGGTACAACACTAAATCCACCATATGTGTGGTACAATTTTGGTTTAGGTAGGTACGTTTATTCTGTAGATAGGGCAGCTCCTTTCCTTTATTTTTTCCATCCTCTAAGGGCAGAATAGTTTTCAAACAAATTAAATGACATTTCACGGTAGTCACAGTGTCATTTGACAGTACTCGATGGTGCATCATCAATTTTACTACATATTTTTTCCAAAGTGGTTGATATATACTATATATGCGGAATCAACAACAGCCATTTGAGGTTGTATCGAAACTTAAGCATAAAAAAATAACAACTGTCGGAAATCTTTCTACTGAACAGTTGTCGTTTTACAGATGTCGTTTTCGGACCCTTATTGCACTAAGGGTCTGAAAATGAACATTATGACCAAAGAACAGTTTCCGTGATACAAGTTTGCATGTAACTATGCAATAATTATCATTTAGGTTTACTCTTACGCAAAAACTATTCTTCACCGACCAACAAACGAACTTAACGAATTGGTAAACACATATTAAATCCGAGACTGGAGGAGGAAAAAACTCTCCGGGAATTTTCCACCCAACAACGACTGAATATCGATTTTCACCACAGAATTTTTCCACAGATGCTAAATAAAATATACAATATATTACACACAATAATCAACTTAAAATTTTTTGGTTTCTTTTTTGTTTTGTAATTTATTATTTTAATTATAAACTGCCTCCGTGGCCGAACGGTTACCATGCCGGACTGCCACGCAGAGGTCCCAGGTTCGATTCCCGGGCCGGGAGAAATAGTTGTATGGCCTACAATTATTTCTCTCGTGAGTTTGGGTGTAATTTGTGGTTGTCTATGTGTGTGTCCATGGCACCCGCGACACAGGGTTTCCCTAGTGCGGGGCTATGTTGAGTGTGTGCGTTATTTATTTATTTATTTATTTGGTTTAAGGTTGTAATTTATTATGTGAATGCTCCGTAAGTACATATTTCATACACTTCACACACATTATGCTTCGTGTACACAGCACACTAATTTGCACAGACAACAATCTTTTTCACTTCACATTTTAATGTTCCGCGTAATCTTTTGGGATGTAGCTGAAAATCAGCGCGTCGTTTTTGCGACGGTTTTACGCTGAGCTATGCGCGACGCCAGCACACATGATACATTTTTCTATTATAAGTTGATTTGATTTTGGTATTTGTTGTTTATAATCCTGTTTTTGTTCGTTTTAAGTATTTACTTCATTCTGTGTCCTGTCTTTGTATTTCATGTAATGTCTGTGCTTTGTTGGCAAATAAACTATCTATCTATATTAACCTAAATTTTTTGTTAGACTTGAGCTCCTTGTAAATGAGTTCGTCCAGGGAAGTGCTGCCTTTTTACCTATTCCAGCCGCTTAGCAGGTGGCAGGCTTAGTGGTGGAATCACAGGCACATGGGACATTTCAATACACGTCTCAGGGTGGCAGGCGCAGTGGCTGTGCCCCTCAGATCATAGGTTCCCAAGCTTTTTGCATCACCCCCCACTTAGGTAAGTATAAAAAATATTAAACGCCCACCACCACAAAAAATAATTGAAAACACGTATTTTTTTATATAGATAATTAGGGTTTTTTTTCAAATGCGGCGGCAGCCCCTGGACAGCATCAACGCAAACCCAATTACTTCCGATAAAAAAATAAAATTAAATAAAAAAAATTAAAGTGGCAACCTATCACAAACTCGAATTTTATTCCGAAATAACGGTTGTTCGAATTTTCATTACACCGAAAACCGAATTATAACGAAACCGTTGTTGTTTCAGGATATGTTTTATCGCAAAGACACGATTAGGTTCGGTTAGGTTAGGTTGCCTGTTCGTTGCCCAGTATAGAGGGGCACGGAATGAAGGCTCGTCTGGTGTTCGGCGAGTCTCACATTCGCAGTCGAGAGACCGATATGTCTCCTTTCTCGGGGAGGGGCTGCTCAGGGCGCGGACTAGTGCAATAGCGTACCCGTGCCCCCACCTACTCTCCGGGGGTTTAGTACGGTCGGGCTGCTCCCCTTCAAGGTTCAATACAGTCCCATATAACTGTAAGCAGATTCCCCCGGATTAACAAAACAGGTTAGGTTAAGTTAGGTTTAAAAGAAAAAACATTTTCCTCTCAAAATTACTTTCGAGCTAATGCTATTTCTGGAAAATGTCAGTTCGGACTATTGATATGTAACCGGCTAGGACTCTTTAGCGCCCTTTGGTAGAGACCACTTTGGGAAACTATGCCTTATTTAGATTTTTGCGATTAAATCTTTGACTATACATTACAACTGCTATGAACAGGCGTGTACCACCAAGCGCAAGACTGGTTCGTTCCGTCACTTATTAGTTGCGCCAATTCATTTTGATTTCATTTCAGTGCTAAACAGAGCTTTAAATCCATTGGCTTACAAATATATGGACGACGGATCTAATACAAAAACCACGAAAAAAATGTTAAATTGTAATGTCATCGTAGTAGTGTCTAATTTTGCTTGCTTCGCTGTCAGTCGAACAAACGAAGACTAGAGCGTGAATGACGCTCTGTATACGATTTTAACGCCCTATAAGTTCGGACACTTTTTAGCGCGGACCCGACGTCCATATAATTGTAAGTCAATGCATCCGACGAACAGAGTCCGATGTGATTATATAGCGAAAAGAGAATAAGTACGTTACTGTGCGCATGATCTTAAGACATAATTTTTCAGCACTGTTTTTTATACATTTCAAAACCTGAACTCAGTAATGCTCTCATTACTTCTTGGCGGCAGAAATAGGTAAGGTATTTACTTTGGCGGACTCTATCACAAGGAGCTATTTTACTACTCTTGCCATCAGTTGGACAGCCTGATCGTTTGGAACCTTAACCTATTTAATAACTGCTAAACACGCTGCCACAAATTAAGTTTTAATTCATTTGTAGTGATAGTGCTGACCGAAAATCTGACGGCCTTCAAGAAGGAAGAGTTTTGGCCGAAGGGTGTCATGTATATGCCGGTGATCTGACACCAGATTGCTCGATTAGTTATTTATTTTATTGTTATATTATATTGTATGTATGTTAGTCCTTAATGTATATATCATACGGGTTATGTGGCCTGAAATAAGTGTCTAAATAAAATAAATAAAAATAAACCCACCTCGTAGTATTCCCCGGTTTCGAGCTGCAACGCTGCAACATCATCAGTAAGTTCTTCAGGATGCCGTTTTCTCGCAGATGGGGAGCCGGGTGACGTCACTAAATAGAATAAAAATCGTGAAACAACATCTTCAAGATCTCACCTACAAGACTGAATGTTTTTGACAGTCGTCTTTATAAAGTCGCAATGTGGGGCCAATGTATACAATTCCTAAGATTTCGGGTGACATTCAAAATTTAAAACTATACTCATTGACTTACAATTATATGGACGTCGGGTCCGCGCTAAAAAGTGTCCGCACTTGTAAGGCGCTAAAATCGTATACAGAGCGCCAAACTCCGCTTTAGTCTTCATTTGTTCTACTGACAGCGCGATACTGCGATGACATTACAATTTAAATTTCGAATAGGTTGACTTGGGACATTTTTTTCATGGTTTTTGTATTAGACCCGTCGTCCATTTATTTGTAAGTCAATGACCATACTGAAACAAAAACTTTTCATTTAATTAAAACATACATAGAATCAACATTAAAAAGATAAATGGGTCACGACTATTTTGTCGTGCACGCACACAGATGTTGTTTATTAAGTTGTATAAAGCTTATTACGAATGATTAATAGAGTTTAAACAATGTGACGATTTAAAGTGTAATTTTCATCCATATATGTTCCACCGGTTCTCTAATAAGGAGAAGGTAGAAGGGAGAAGGCTGTAGCCTGTAATTCAACTCTATGGGGAGATGGTGACTTCACCAATCTTTTATTTTATGGACTTTCAATGACATGCAAGTTTTGTTAAAAACCTATCTATTACAGGTAACTACTAAATGATAACTAGTAAAGTAAAAACTGTATTGGAGGAGGATTTAATCTTCCAGGAATTGTACTAGGGCCGTTTGCGTGAGAAGCAAGCGTAACCGCCCCACAATGGGCGCCATATTAATGATTACGCCTTTTTATTGCCCAAATTAATCGTCATTACTTCAACTTTTGACTAAGCACGGAATTCATAATATTGAATTCAATTCAAAAACATTTATTTCAGTTAAAATCCATATAATGTTGGTAAACAAAATAACTTATGACCTAGCGTTAGTATTAATATTACTTAATTTAAACGGACAATACAGCTATACAATTAAAAGCCTGTATGGAGCTCAATCCATCTCCGCAGGAGTGGCGAGTCCCACCGATCTGTGATACAGAATGCTGTTGGAGCCCCAGAGCAGATGCACACCTTTTCCTCACGAGGGCCATGAAACCATTGCAACGTGTACAGAACTTGACTTTGAATAGCGTAATAATATAACATTTTCTTGACTAATTATATTTATTAATAGAAGCCGTAAGCTGGGCGCCAAAATAGCGGACTATGATCGAGAGGAAAATATTATTAATAGCAAAAGTAGAGCCTTAGCTTAAATGTATTAGATATTAATGGACCCATCCATAATACGCAATATTTACATTGCTGACTGACGTATGGATTAATGGTTACGTAATCGTGGCGCCCAACGTGGGGCCGCAACTCGATAGTCTGATTTTTGCAGGAAAATTTAATGTAGTTCGTAAACACAAGAAATCTGGTCCAAATGACAACGTTTTATTTGTACACATTTGCAAAAGTGATCTTTATATAAAAATAATATTGTTTTCCAGTTTATCGTTGAATTCCAGAAACTTCTATGAGTTCTACAGAAAGCTAAATTATGAATGGTTCCATTAGTTATCTGTTATTGCAAAGAGAACTTCTAGAAGTTTCCATTTGTAGTTTATAGCACTTATTCTCTAGTATCATCAAAAATGTTTGATTTTATTTTAAACAAAGAACAGAATTAAAAACAAATTACTTCCCAGCTTCGTTTGCAAAAGCCGCATGAAAATCCAATTTTACTGTTACGTTTAAAGTTTAAAATATTTGAACATTATGTACAACACTAAAGTGACTAAGAAAGAAAATACAGCCAAGCCGTTCGTTTACTGTATTTCGCACCCATAGTTGAAAAACGCCACGTCTGCCAAATCACAACTTTTCACAATGAGAAGAGTAGTTAAAAGTAACGAACGATATTAGTTAATAACTTTTTTGTACATAAAAGTTATACAATACTTTTATACGATAAAAGCACTTTTGATGTTATCACGTATGGCTTTATTATATTAAGAGTATGATTGTTTACGTCCTGAGTTTTTACGAATGTTCTGATGGCCAAGGAACAGTAGTTTTGTAATGTTTGATAAAATTATTATCTGCATGTTTTCCGATATCTTTTATTGGAAAAATTGATAAAGTTTACAGAGGCAGTCATTGACCTACAAATAAATGGACGACGGGTCTAATACAAAAACCACGAAAAAAATGTCCCAAGTCAACCTATTTAAACGTAGTGACATGTAAAGGAATATGAAAAAGCTAAAACGTTGAATTTAAATTGTAATGTCAACGCAGTACTGTCTAATTTTGCTTGCTTCGCTGTCAATCGAACAAACGAAGACTAAAGCGTGAATGACGCTCTGTATACGATTTCAACGCCCTATAAGTTCGGACACTTTTTAGTGCGGACCCTACGTCCATATAATTGTAAGTCAATGGAGGCAGTGCTATTTTATACATTTGAAACTTGTATCGCCCAGAAATATAATTTTTTTTGACTGCGCCGTTATTTTTATAATACTAAGCGATGGGACGAACAAGTCGGCCAGTAACACTCAGAGTTTTAAATCACAAAAACACCCTGAGACATAAATTGACAAGTCCCAAGTGCCTGCAATTTCACCAGCACCTTTACTCTTCATAACCGGAACGCAGTAATGCTCACATTACAGGTTGGCGGTAGAAATAGGTAAGGTGGCAGTTCTTCCCTGGACGAGCTCTTTCACAAGGACCTCTACTGCGTTAGTGTCACTTGGCGTGAGAGTTATAATTATCTAGTGATCTACGTTATTGCTGTGTTCAAATGACTGATTATTATTGTAAAATAAGTGTAAGTGGATGCTCCGTCATCTTACTCCCAAAATTTCGTCCAAGTCATTAAACTCGATACCGGCAAAATGGTCCCCCAATCTGGGGTAGATATCGTACCTTTAGTATAATAAAACCGCTTGTGATAAAAATGCTTTTATCACACGAAACTCATAAAAGTGTTACAAAATATATGAAATCAATTATGTGTATGTGAATGTGAAATTTTATTAATCTCCCATTTATGCATTAAAAGTAATTGACTAATTTCCTTCTTAGAGTGGTTACACGCGGCTACGATTGCATCGATACAAGTTGGTTATATTCAATAAATTATGTACGAAAAATCTGTATAGGTTTATGCACATTATTTTGTTTTGTTAATAAATACATGAAATAAATAAATTAGTAAATTAATTTAAAATATGCATCGCGTTTTCACCGCTTTTAGAAAAAAATAAAAAATAAAATGCATTTATTTCGGACAACGTTGATCCATAGGGTGTTATTACAAAACGAACTTTAAATAATAACTATGTTAGTACCTAAACTTAAATGGAATTCCACCTGTCAGCTACAACAGACAGGAGTCTGTGACGGCTGGCGCGCAACCTGCGCATCGACGCGCTGCAGCGCTTGCGCAACGTCGCGCCGAATCCGTCGACATTTGCGACCGCGAACATTCCGGAAGCGCTACAGCGTCGTGGAAGACGTAAAAGCACCCTAAATGCGTCGTTGTATTGGACCCGCAAAGCATCGTGAGATCATTCTGCGAACCTGCTCCATAGACTGCAAGAATACAACGATGTACAGTACGCTTTAAATAATGTTATTTTTACTTGAGCTGTACATCTGCTGAACCTGCGCGCTATCATGTTCGATCTCATGGCCAATGCTCTGCGCTCCCTCTCGATATCCGCGTCATCACGCAGATCGTCGATTACCATGTGCCCTAGATATTTAAATGACGTCACCCTTTTCAGTTGTTGACCGTTAAGAAATATGGGAGGGACAAGTGATGGGCACCTACTACCTGCCTTAAAGACCATGTATTCGCTTTTATGCACATTATATACAAGATTATGCTTCGCAGCATAGGTACGATTCGCATATTTCTAGGACGATTCTTAAGCCGCCAACAGATGGGCTCAGCAGCACCATGTCGTCGGCATAACTTATGTTATTAAAGCAGACCCTATCTACATGGCATCCGACATGCATGCTGCTGAGCTCATCTATTAGGGCATCTACATACAAATTAAATAGTTTTGGTGAGGAGACTCGTCGAGTTTATATCGCGTTTGCATCTCTTACAATCTTTAAACTTCTCTCTCGAAAAGTTGTCATTTTGCAGATGTGACCTCATTACACCAAGGGTGCGATAAAAGTTGCCAAAAAAATTTTTTTTAAACCAAGTGACGGAACAAATAAATCGAAAATCGAAAAAGCTTAAGAGGGAGCAGAGGAAAAATTCGTAATCTTCGATTTGATTTTAGAGGGGTATATCCACTTTAAAGTTAAAAATAAAATATTGTATGAGTAACTACACGATATATTCAAGCACAGACATTAATCAGAAAAGTTTCCTCGATAGATAAAAATCACGAAATGACCTCTAATTTTCACATTTTTTCGATTTATTCTCGAAATGCTACAGGTTATTACGACAAAAATTAGATAATTAATTATATTTACGAATGATCGACAACTGTCACTACGGATTTTTTTTTAATCCCTTTAGTTTTAGAGTTATTCCGTTAAAACGAATTTGGTACTTTTAATGTGCAAAATTCAACATCTCCTGTCGCATGTCACGCGAACTTCAGGCATATATTTGTTTCACAAATTTGGGCGGAGCCAACGTCAAAACTTTTTTGGCATGAGAGCTCTTAAGCGGCACGCCTGTTTGTAACTGTTGCAGTGCAGTTCAGAGCTTTAAATTGCAAAAATCTCAGTGACACTGCCACTGTGTCTGTAATTTCACCTTTACTGCTTGGCGGCAGAAAAAAGTAAGGTGGAGTACTTCCTTGGAGGAACTCTTTTACAAGGGCTCTACTGTTACTACATTTATTATTTAGAACTAGAAAAGTAATAATTATATTCAATATTTCAAATCGTCTTTCTACAATTAATTCATTCTATATATAATATTGGTAAGGGTTTACAAAGATACGTGACAGTCCGTGCGGCGAATTATCAGGGCACGGATTATTGGCTATTACCCTCAAGGAGAGGGCGATAGAAGGGAGATGACCCCAATTCAAGAGTTGAACCGATCACGACTCCAACAAAATCATTAATATGGCGCCCAACATAATACATTAATGTGGCGCCCAACGTGGGGTTTCATGAAATAAAATCTTAATTAAAATGCATACCATTGTCAGTGCTGCTGCTGTTCTGGAGAAGGTTCTCGGTAGAGGGTTGCTCCTGGTGGTCCCGGCTTCTAGTCTTGAATAAACCAAATTTCACTGGGGCCATCACCTGTTAACAAGCAATTGGCTAATCAACTCTGGGGTTGAAATATTTGTGATAGGGAAGCACATAGCATGATCGTAAGTATTTTTAGCATTCAGTAGTAAGATCACGCCATCGAAAAGGTCAACTACCCACATCACCCGGAATTCATTCACTTTTGTAAAGTGCCGTTCATAAATTTTGTTCTCGGGTTTCTTTGCTTTCTCATTGAAAGGATTTTTAGTGACGTATCTCAGTGGCTAGTAATTTGTAACTATTATCTTGTATTAAGTAACTGCAAAATAATGTGGTTCTGAGATTTTTTTATAATAACAAGTGATGGGACCAGCCAGTCCCAACACTCAAGCTGAATAAAAACAGGCACATGAGACTTACCAACTTCAGATAACTGGGCAATGCTCATCAGATCTTTGTGATTTAAAACTCAGAGCAAGGGCGTTTTCGTACTACGTTCGGTTCGTATCAGATCCGAGAGAATGCGAGAAATGACGGTCCCAAATGTCGCAGGCATAATTTTATCGCTAGATGTACAAGTTACATTCATATTTTCTCGTATTTGAATTCGACCCCTCCTACGTAAAGTATCGTATGTCGAAATTGCCAAGTTTACAGGGGAGCGTTTTAAAGTTTTCAGACTATCCTACGCAAACGAGTAGCCTCGGTGATGAAGCGCGTGCGGGATAGCGGCAGCGGTCTCCTAAATACCATTTTGGAGCGGGTAGATTGCCCCATAGTAAGTCACTGGAATGCGTGTCATATGCACTCTAATGTTGCCATTTATAATGTTAAATATAATTTGTTCTAACATAGTTTTAAGATAATTGTTACTAACCAGCTATGAACTTTGTTTGAAATAAATGATTATTATTATTATTTTCGTATTTATTTTAAACTCTCGCCTCTCCCAAGGCCTAAAAAAATTAATTTTGAATTTTTAAATGGGAGAGGCGGTATTTCCCGGCAATGGCACAGTCGGCCGGGGTCAGGGACTCAGGTCCAAGAATCGGCGAACAATACGTGCCGTATCGAGCAGGACCGCCTTCTGCATTTGTGCTGGAAGCGACACGCCACAGAAATCCAACCGCCTCAAGCTGTTAGAAAGGCTGACTGGAATTAACCCATTTGCGGACAAAACAATTGGGATTATTTCAGTGGAGGCCACACCCCACATGTCGGTGATCTCGTGCGCCAGGTCGAGATACTTCCGGCGTTTCTCGGTTTCAGCTTTCACGAGACCCTCGTCATGCGGTATGGTGACGTCCACAAGAAATACCCTTGACTGCGATCGATCCAATATCACAATATCAGGCTTATTCGCAAGAATAGTCCTGTCCGTGATAATTGATCGATCCCAATAGATTTTGGTGCGGTCATCTTCTAGTATTGGCTCCGGTGAATACTTGTAATATGGCAACCTCTGTTGCATTAGTCCGTACTTGAGAGCGAGCTCTTGGTGTAATATTTTGGCTGCCTGGTTGTGTCTGTGCAAGTTATTATTATTATTATTATTAAAGTTCTCCGTTTTGTTTGGCAAAACCTCATTACTGACATAGAGTGATCATCTAGTAGATCATCTAACCGATATCTAGGATTTAACAATACTCTATGCGAGTAACAACAAGCTTTGCCGAATAAAACTGAGAAATGCTAAAGTCACGTGTTATGCTCATTGCAGTGAATTGAGACTTTAAAACGCTTCCATGTAAACTTGGCAATTTCGACATACGATACTTTACGTAGGAGGGGTCGAATTGTACTTAGTGCACAAGCGATATCCGAAGTGCGATCCGTTCACCCATTTTTACTGCATGCATTTTTATTTTTATTTGCATTCAATTTTAAACTACGCTTAGTTATGTCTATTGTACTACATCACCTTTGTTATTTATTCTGGCTTTACTGAAAACCAGCGTAACGTGGTGTTTTCACACGTCTTGTTGCAAAAAGCTGAGTGGAGACCATTTTGGTAACCTATAAATGTAATTCTTTTATTTTGTGTTTTATCGTAATGCTATTTTATTTGTTGTTATTATTGTTATATATATTTTCTCATAAGGTTACCAAATAAATTACTTTTCTTTCTTTCTTTCTTTCCTTCCATGTAAATTCTGTTATGTTTAAATTAAAAAAAAAACACTGTGAAATCATTAAAATAATACGAACTGCATGAAAGAATGATCATGTCTATATGGGCATTTCTCCAAAGCCGTAATTTTCTGTGTCCATGTAATTTGTCAAAACAAAAATCTACAAAGAAAAGTGTATATAGTACTAAGAGCAATAACCTAGAGATAATATAGGTCCAATGCTGACTCAAGAGCACAAAATCTTCCCAATAAGCCTTTCGAACTTAATGGAAAAAAATCCGAAATATCTAAAACCTGACAACGGCGGCGTGTCTCGAATCCAATATCCAACACAAAGTGTTATTTTTCTCCAAATTGCAATTATGTATCAATATTAGACTTTAGTTCACGTATAATAAATTAGATGAAAATATTTGTAATCTGAATTACACAATAAACTTAGCAATAGCTCTATCACAATACCAAGATTGCTGCGTGTCCCGGATTACGCCGTAATCGGTGGTAGTTGCTAACACGCTATGCATCACAAGTGAAGGACTTTGGAAGCGTCGCAATTCGATTGTAGTATTCGTCCACAATACCCCTGCGGTTGGAGAGAACCGGTGGATGAGTTGTCAATTTTAGGACTTTTAGTGTGTAAATACGTAGTTCGGTGGATTTGGTCCGGCTGATTTATGAATTCGGTGTAAACGATATTTCAAAAACGAAATTTTATAGTTGTATGTAATATTTTTTATAATATGTGTTGTAACGACTATAATATAATACAAAATTGGTTTTACAAGTGTTGTCGTTTACGAGTAATATTAAAAAAATATATTTTCTGAATCCCGTGGCCTTGGATTCGAGAAAAGGTTCCACCGAAGTCGGAATAAGCTACCATCGAAGTCATATTTTCTTTGAAAAGCAAGAATTTTATGAAAATAAATAATATTAACTAAACATTTACGTGAAAGAACTCACATAAATGTTTAGTCAATATTTATTGATTTTCATAATTACTATTACTACTTGTTTCCCGCTGAAAATGAATAAGTAAATTCAAAACAGGAAACAAAAATTGAAAATCGAGAAGATGAAGGAACGCGCTAGGAAAGCAAAGATAAAAAGCTATCCAATTATATGAAAGATTTAAAGTAAAAGATAGACATATGTATGCGAGGAAAAAAGACTACCTCGTCACGTATAAAAAGCAATGAAAGATATTAATCGCTTAAGTTCCAAAATATTGATTGCTTTTGTAGATACAGACTGGCTTCTAAAATTTGTTTTAAAGAGATACTGAAATGCTTTGTGTGGGGTAGAAAAAGGCTGAACAGTCAAACTGAAAACTGATTTTTATTAATAGTCACAAGGTGTAGTTTTGCGCTGTTTATGGTCGCTTTTTATGTACATTTTAGTTTTGAAAGCTTGATTTAGGTGATAGTTAGTCATATTAGTAAATATTTATGTAGATTACTTAATTTTTTTATTGCCTTTTTCATAACATTTTATATAAAGTTTATACCTTTTCTTAAATTATCCTGACTTCGGTGGTAGCTGAATTCGGTGGATCTAATATGTCATTAACTTTTAAGAATCTGGTTGCCCAATTAACAGAATCTTATATGAATTTGAGTTCTTTTTCCTTCCCGCTCAATGTTTCTCCTGGAATGAAGAAAAAACATTAGACCACCGAAGACAGAGAATTGACCCCTTCTTGGAGAAATGCCCATATAATTCGGCGCAGATATTTAGCACTGTAGGTGTAATATTGGACTGCATTTGGCATCCCTAACTTAAAATTTATAATTGGACTTCCTAATCAAAATTCATAATTTGCCAAGGGACGCTTATATGCAAAGTTATTACGTCGTACCACGTCTGTATAAGTTTAAGTTATGTACGTTATTAGAATTTAAATCTGAAATGGATTTTTGTTGCTAAGTCTTTGCGTTGATGCTTTAAACATGGAACAACTTAAACCAACGTTTCGGACTCTTTACAGGTGTTATGATTATTATATAATAACAAAAACTATAGCTAAATAGATAAACAAAATAAAATTAAAACAAATAACAAAAAATAAAGACACTAAATATGACGGTGTAACATAGTGGGCGCCCTCTATGCGGATAAGAGCGAATTACGAAATTTACTCTAGCGGGACGTCGTTTGTCGATGGCAGTGGGGCGGCAAGATGGCCACGGCCATTCCGTTCGGGTGACAGCCGCTTGCGCACCGGACCTTGCGACGAATCGCTGTTCTTCCAAGCAATCGGTGTTCTTTCCCATAAATTAATGTTGATTTCTATTTCATGATAATTTTTGTAAAATAGTAGAGAACTGATTTCGTTGATTAATTATAAGTCCATAAAAATAACTTGTGACTGTTGAATTACTTACTACCACGCCCAGTACTACTTATCTAAGACAATGAGCAATTCTGATGAAAGCCCTCTTGCGCCTTTAAATAAGTATATGGACAACAAACACCTTATACCTAATTAACGACATAAGAACTTGTATGTGCGTAAGAGTCAATGTATATTGTGGCGGAAAGGAATGAAAGCGAATTTTTGTAACGATTATATATTTATTACATATTTATATTTGTTAGAGATTTATGTCGATAACACCGCAACTAGAATTTAAATTTTTCCCGGACTAACATGCTTGGGTCGAGCGGCAGGGTTACTGGCTTTACCACCTTGTGCAGGTGCTGACCGGGCACGGCTGCTTCGGTCACTACCTGCACAAGGTGGCGAGGAGGGAACCGTCCCCGTCGTGACACGAGTGCGGCGCTGCGGATGACACCGCGCAGCACACCCTAGAGGTGTGTAGCCGGTGGGATGAGCTGCGCCGCACTCTGACGGGGACTGTAGGGCAGGACCTCTCGCTGCCGAGCGTGGTTGCCGCCATGCTCGATAGCGAGGAGTCC